TGGTCGTAACCCGAAAAGTTCGTTAGTAGAGGCGTTCGTATCCCGAGGTACCACTGTACTGAGATCAGATATAAAAATGTGAAAATTAAAAAAAGGAACAAATATACTTATTCTTCCTTTCCCTTCTTTTCTTTTCATATGAGAAAAGATGATAGAAATCAAAGGCAGAAGATGCTTAATCACCGAATACTGAAGTGAGAGAAGACAGCTCCACATTTGAATGTTCTCCTTTATTAAAACAAACAAGTTTCAAACTAGCATATCTTAGAGATAGAGAGCTTTTTGCTGGCTCCTTTTGTGTCAGGGTTTTACTTCCAGATATTTTATTTTTAAAAAACAAGTGGAAACATTAAAAAATAAAATATCCAACTTGTATTCTGGCATGACCTCCTTCTGACTTCATTCAGCTACACACATGAGGGTATTGGTTCCAAGGTGGAAAGTTGGGCTCTTCCCAATAATGCAACTTAAGTGTTCCAAAGGGCACGGTGGACTCACGTCAGAATAGGAATAGTGCAGTCCCTGGCATTTCTCATTCTTGTGTAATATCGATTAAACTTTTGCTACATGCTATATCCTATTCTTTTTCCATGATGAAATTTGAGTTAAGAGTTCTCAAGTGCTTTCATAGCTAAGGCACTGACTGTACTGACAGCTCTTTTAGCATCAGCAATGCTGTGACAAATGCTTTTAGGCCAGAATCTAACATCTGACACTGAATAAGGGACACTGTTATATTGGAAAATAGGCAGTTCCCAATTCAACCTTTTTTTGAGGGAAAAAGACTGTTCATGTAAGATAACTGTCCAAATTCACAGGCTTTACCTAGCATTGCTCTGACAAGAAAGATATAATAAGCTTGGTCTGAAATTGTTAGTACAGTATTTCAGCAATATTCCCTCTTCTTTGTTCCCTTTTTCTGAACTGCTTCTTATGCATTTTTTAAGCAATGGAATGTGTAAATTGAGTTTTCATACAATTAATTATCTTCAAATAGTTTTTACATTCCAGGAATAGTATAACTGTTTTACAAAAAGACACTCAATTGCAATATTAACATGACACTTTACCACTCATGGTATCTTGTATCAGAATATTTCATTCTACTCATGCTATATTCCATCTATGGAATCAAACCTGCACTTTCCAAGGTGTTCTTCATAGAGCTTTTCTTTTTTATCATATTCATATGAATTATTTGGAGTGCTACATGGTTGTCCCTAAAAAGTGCCCCTGTTCATAAGTGCTGAGATGTAGATTATGATTTTTCTGCAATGATAATTGCTTGGTTTATGGAGACATGAAAATACAGTACCTAGACTGTCCCCTTTTCTCCAATGCTTCCCATGCATTCTGGAGAAAAAAGTTCAGAAGCATTTGCTTTTGATTAACCACCATTTGCTATGTTATTCAGCAACTGTAAAGCTGGTTAATGTTTCTTTTGACTTGTTTCATATAAACCAATATCAAACTGTAGCGGGCTATAATTAATTGGAATTGGAAGCTTCCAAATTTTTCCACCAGAGAAGGAAAGGGAGGGAGGAGTGTGCAAGTGTGGAAAATGGTTAAGCTTAATGCATTGAGTGATATAATCTCTGTTACACAGAAGAGCTTCAGTAGCTAAAAAAAAATTAATCTCATCAATCCTCCATGACAAGTGATTGTGATTCCCATTTTGTACATGTTGAGAAGTAAGCTAAAGGACAGTAATTTGCTTAAGGATTTCTAATCAACAGGATTATAATGCTGCTGAAATACTGTGTTGGTGTAGGCTAGTGTCTAAAACCACTGTGGTGAAAAGACCATGCAAGCCATTACATGAAGCCAAAAGTCTAGAAATAGGGTCCAGTGTCTTTCAGTTTTTGCATTTCCTTCCCTCCAAAAAACCCCCCCTCTCCCAATGGCCTTTAGAGGAGGTTCCTTACTAGACTAACATGCAAGTTCAGCAAAGGATTTTGCATAAAACACTATGGCCAGAAACAAGGGGATAGATTACAATAAAGGAATGTGATAGGAATGTGATGCCAAGATCAAATGGAATTTAAAATTAATAGAATTTTCTAGATTGCATTTGTTTACCAATCTACTAAATTTGGTCAATAAAAATTAAGGACAAGAAAAAATAATGCTATTCTCCAGGAGAAGATTGTATAGCCTTTCCTGCTGTTTCAGGTTACTCCAGACCCCAGATTTAAAGAGCAAAGAGCCATTAAGCACAGGTAATGAAATATCATATTTCATGTAATGAATTAGCATAAAATTCTGTCCTTACATTTCTAAATAAACCATGCTTTTATCTGATGAAGGTTACATCAAACAAGGGTAATTAAAATGCAGATTGTGAATGCTCTTATTGGTTTAGATAGTAATCTTGACAGCATTTTTTCTGTAACATGTACCTATCACCAGTACTATATCTTAAAAGAAGGTGAGACCTCCCCCCCACGAAAAAGTTTTAAATTTATGAAGCTCATATGTTTATTGTTAATAAAACAATATGTTTCTAGGCTACAATTTAATTTTCAAGCTTTTGTTTGAAATTAATTTTGCTTATTCCAAGATTTTAGCCAGTCAGCAGACACGGGGGTACAAAAGAAGGATGTTTAAAAAATAATGTCTTTTATAAAGAAAGTGTCTGGTGGAGTAATTTACAAATACCTGCAATTGATTGACTTACCTATGTCAATTGGTTCTTGTTTTATGTGTGAGAAGTCTGGAATCATATTAATGGGATTGTTGTCTTCAGGAATTACTGTAAATTTAAAGCAAATTTTTAGAAAATGTAATTTATGTATGACTAAATTTCATATGTTTAATATACTTATTTCAGTATTAAAAATCAGTATTAAAAATCAGTATTAAAAATGGGGGCTAAAATATCAGTGTTCTCTAATATTTTTCTGTGATCATTCCAAACAATTGGATTCAAAGATTTCTGTTATAACCAAATATTTATATGCCAAATGCCATCTTCCATAGTGGAGAATATCAGGACTTAGTTAGGGGGAGGATACCACTCCAAGGAAGACAGCTGGTGGCAGCATTAACTACCAAGATGCTACACCAAGATGGGAAGCAGAGATAGGTTGCGTAGATCCAGAGGGCTTCAAGTTAGAAGGTTTGAAGCTTCAAGCTTTCATCCTATGGGATCAGACCTACTGCTACTCATGCAAATTATGTTTTACAAATAGAACTAGGATAAATTGATACTGTATATTATTTTAGACTGCAAGTATAATAATTATTTATTTGTGCATTCGAAGTATGGACAAATAGATCCAGGAAAGCATATGAAATTTCTAAACACTTTGCCTGTTTTTTTCCACATCACAACCATGCCCGTACAGGAAGGGTTGCCATCTGGCTTCATGATGCCTGTTTTGCTTTTTTTAGTCTCTTGGTGTAAGCAAGATGTGCCACATGGTTAAAATGGTACAATCATTTCTGAGTTGTACTTGATTCCTGTTAACATCATTTGCATGTCCATGTAATTTTCTTGGCAATAATATAGACATGGTTTGTTGTTGCTTTCTTTTGAGATATTTTTACTCTTTCTAGTCTACACTACATCCCTGGTATTTCTTGATCATTACCCATTCCAGGACTAACCAGTTTTGATTGCGTTTAGGTTTTAGAGATCAAAGTCACTTAGGTGCTGCCACAAACCTGAGTTCCCCATTGCTAAAGAGCACATAGAGTCTTGCTTGCTTCCCACATTCCATTTCTGTTCCTTAAATATGTGGGAAGTGTACATAATTCCATTTAATAGTCTGGTGTGTTGACTGGTTTTGTATGTATATTAAAATGTGCCCACAGAATAATAGGATTGGTTTAAGGGTTGGTGCCTAGTCCCCCTGACATTTATTTTGAGATTACTAAATCAAGCAAGTTTGCAGGCATTAATATAGAGAACCCTGAATGCAATGTTCCTCTTATCTTGCAGAACCATATTCATTTTTTGTCATTATGATGGCATCAATAATTCTCTTAAGAAGTGTAGTTAGGGAAGGAAAAAAATTTGTTTTTACAGAATAATTGTAATTATTCATTTTTCTTTGCACATTATTGTGTTTTATCACAACAAAAGGGGGAGGAGGTCTGACCTTTAATGTAATTGGTTTCTTGCTGTTTGGTGATATGATCCTTGTGATAGATAATATAGTCAATGACAGCAGTAGGAAGATCCAACGAAAAGGGGAAAGTCCAAGTTTGTGCTGGGGGTCAGGGACTGCGTTATCTAACTGAAACTACGTTCTAAGCTGTTAGATAATACTATTGGCAAATATTAAGCAAGAAAATCTAATTGTAACATTTCAGTAAAAATTCTCAAACCAGTGCTGGTTTATTGATTTTATTCAAGCTGAATTTTGTATGTGTTTAAAGACATCCCTTAGATTACTTTCTTATCTCAGGAAAGTAATACTGAATGCGAACATGCTTCTTTTAGCTTTTGAAATTATACCCCATGTTTGCTATTATCAGATAAATGTCCATTTACACAGAACAAACCATGAAGCTCATGGTTTGGGTTTGTGTTGGACAAATAAGTTTCTAGAGAATTCTCTTTAATAATTTGGCACCCTCTACTGGCTGATATGTAGTGGTAACATGAGCTTGTTTTTAAGGCAGATGTTAGGAGCTGATGTTCTTGCAGGACGTTCTTGTTTCTGAACTGTTACTTTGGTTTTCAGTATAGTGAGGAGACATCTTAACCAATTGATTTATATTTCAGAAATCTAACAAGCAACACATGAAGTATATGCTTACTAGTGCCTAGAATTCATCATCTCAAAGCAGAAAAAGGAATATTAGGATGATGTAAACATTACTTATCTTCCAGTTTCTCCCTCCATCCTCTCTTCTTACCTAGGTTTGGGGTGAAGATGTCTTTATGGCTTCAATATATAACATAATAGATTCATCTCCATTTTGAGCAAAGTAAACTAGGCATACTCAAATTGGAGTATTCAGGTTCAGTGAAAGATTGTTGTAAGATAGGGGATGTGTATCTGTGCACATCTTTGCATTTAAAAATGGGAATAACACCAGTAAAATTAATGTCTTTATATGGCTATCATTTTTGTCATGCTATGGTCATGAGAATGCCTATTTCCAGAACAGTGCCTAAGCCAGTTATTGATCAGAATATGAGTAAGTTGGCAAAATGTAGCAGATACTTACCTAGAGGCCTAGAAAAGCTGTTGATTATCACTTTGTGCAGAAAATGCTACACTATCAGATTTTATCACCAGACCTCAGTGAAATTGTAAAATGAGTTTCTGTGATGGACAAAGACTTTCGTAAGTGTTTGTCACTTGATGTCATTTGTCAAGGTCTTCTTCCATCATCACCATGATTATTTGTAGTGAAAGACCTGTGCTTTGTTTATCAAATTAAACGTGTCACTAAGGGAAAGTACCCAGAGATAATCTAGAGTTGTAGAAAAGGTGTCAAAAGGGCTACAGCTTACAATAAGCTGAGGTTGGCAAAGGATGTTAAGAGCAGCGCAAAAGTTTTTTTCAGAAAAGAATCAATATACCAGCTGCTCAATTGTTGTTGTTCAGTCGTTAAGTTGTGTCCGACTCTTCGTGACCCCATGAACCATATTGCGCCAGGCCTT